TCATTCATTATTAATACTATTAGTAATATCTTCGTTAAAGACTTTGATGGCGACAGCTCAAACATGAGAGGTTGAGCTTTATTAGTTCCACCTTGTGGAAATTCCGGATACTATTATTTTACTTCCGGTATTATAGGAGAATTTACAGTAACTCGCGGTAGACTGCGTAAAGCGCACCGCAAAATAATGGGGTATCGCCCGCTTGTTTTGAATGGCTGCATCTATATAAAAATAGTCCACTCTTATAGCTTGTTGTTGGCTACGGCGTAAGTGTGTGTATCTGGATGAATTATTAAAGGTGATGATTTTGTGATTTATGATTTCTTTACAGAATTCTTTAAATTAAAGGACAGAAAAGGGCAATATTTACAAGTTGTGTATCGCCTCTTCTTATATTTGTAAAAACATTCCAATTTAAATGCAATACGGAATATATTATTAATAATATTATAACAAATTCAGGTTCTTATGCCCTCGCTGCTCCTGTACCGGTTCATCCTTTACTGCATGGGCTTGAACACAGGTCAACAGAGGTTTTGCCAGCTGAGCTACAGAAGGCCAAGGCGGCCAACATCCCTGTTATGCTCATGGGAGTAGAGGGCTGTATGGTCACCACTCTGCAACCGGCCTTTACCATCTGTATGCTGCCTGTCTGTTACAATATTAATAATGAATCACCATGGATGAGCTGTAAACTGGAGATTTAGAGAAGACATGTTTAGTCTTGTCTTTTCGGCTTGGAATTTAACCTTTACAGCGATCCTTTTGCTATATTTTTTACAGAGCCGGATGAGTAAAAATACTCAAATACCCATCACGAACCGTATTTACTACAATACTATAATACTATAATGAGTCCCTGAGGCATATCAATAAATATCAATAAACAATAAAATTGTTGAGTTTGCACGAGTGACAAAAGGTTCCTTTTGAGAAGTCGTGTACTGCTTGCAAAATAGCTGATTTTGACAAACAGCTAATTTTACTTGAAGAATTTAAAATCTGTCTGTACTGTAGCTTTATTTAATTGAGCAGAAAGTCACCTTGTTCTTACAAGCGGCTCTGTTAAGCAGTGTGTGTTAACACACCACACCCTTTTGAATGAGTTTTAATCAACTTTGTCTGTCCATGGGGGTTGGGCAGAGAGTGATGGAGAGTGAAATAGATGACCACCAGCACTTCTCTTTCCCCCCTAGTGTGAGGTGATAATCCGCATTATGTGATAATTTTTTCAGGCCACAGTGAGATTAACACAGTTGGGATCACTTAGATGGATAATTTTAGTAAATATGTTGACAAATGTCTGAATTTGTGCTTTCATGTAGCAAGATACAAATGTATCTAGGTATGAAACAACTACGTGATCTTACCCCGTGAAATTGTGGGAAAGAGGTTTAGTGGGCAGCGTTACTCACACTGTAGTGCTCATAGTGTTAGTTTTAATACACTGTACAGTATCAGTATAAAGCAAGTACATTTTAAATAATGTTTGTAATCGCTATTCTTGCAAGTGCATTTTGTATTCAGTTTGCTTCTGCATGTTAGCTGGTGGGCAAACCAGGTGAAAATTCTTCCACAAGGAGTGTACCTTTAAAGCGGAGAAGATGGCACCAAACTTTTAGGCTCAGTATCTTGCTCAAGCTATTCCTCTTTGGCACTTTTGTCATAGAAGTGGGAAGACACCTCCCCCTTTCCCCATCCCTCTGACTGCATGACCTGTCCCCATTTTTAACCATTTTGTGTCCAAATCACAGCAGGTGAGAGAGAGTAGGGAGAGACAGAAAAAAAGTGAACCCTTGCTTAATTTTAAATGATATTTTACCTTCATTTTTAATTTTATAAGTTTGTATTTTACTTAATTTCTGATAGTCAGATTTAATGTATGTTTGAGCACAGTTAAATTAATGTTTTTACAAGATGTGGAAGAAGTGTAACAATTTATCACAGTGCAAACTGTAATACTAATTATTGATTACTAATTGCGACAGACAAAATAGTATAGATGAAACTTTCTAAAATAGATTTTTTTAAATTAAATATGATTAAAATGCATAATCTAACCATATGCAATGTCATTAGAAAGTAAAATAAGCCCCTGCTTTGTTTAACAATGGTTTCAAATATACAGTAAACTAACTGGCGAGAAAGCTATGTTTAATGATAATTAAAAAATGTATAAGTTAAAAGAAATGATTTAAGTTCCATTATTAAGTTTTAAAGGAAGACAATCTCACTGCCATAAACACTGCAAGTTGCAGAACAGCCTACTCACAGCGCCGCCTCTTCTCTGACTGAGCTCAGTGGGCGGTTCGCTATTTTCTCAGTCGGTATTTACCTTCCAATTTTGCATCACACCACGGGAAGATAGGAGAATGTGATTGTACTGCATATGTACAAAATGCGTGTTGCGTTTACACAAGGAAAAAAAATCATCCTTTTATCATGGATTTAAAATCATGCAATGTCTATTTTAGACAGACACATTATTGTTTCTTATTTTTCATTTTCTTTAAAATTAAAATAATCAGCTATCAATCGTGCCACACAATAGTATGTTACATTTTCACGTTTTTGAGAGACTTCAGAGGGCTTCAACTGATGACTAAAAAAAATTTAGCATAATGCCTTCTCGTGTTTTGAAGTCACTTGCACCTGGGATCCACTTTTTTCAAACTGAGGTTTCTAAAACTTCAACCAGGTCCTAGATATTGTTTAAATAAAAAGACAAATCAGGATCTTTAAAATGCCTGTGGTTTTAAGGCTCTCTGTCATTTGTTCACAAAGTTATTAACATCATGTTTCAGAAATAGGTATTTTAATAAGTGTAGTGAAGGTTATGTTTATGAATTGTAAAATTCCATATAAATATTTAATATTAAGTGGATTTAAACATGCACTGTAAAGAGATTAAATGAAGCAATCCTATCACTAACAACCAATGCACCACAAGTGCCACCTGTCAGTCATTTTGCCCAGCCAATCACGTACTGTGGTATTCTGCGCTGTTCTGCAGATAATGTCGTGCAGTATGGGGTTTTACTGCGCTTTTTGTAATGGCTGCATTTGTATAGCAGATTAGTTCATTTTCACATAAATGTTCCTGTTTTTGAATGTGCTCCTTAGAGTCATACAGTTTATTTTTAAAAATAGCCTTTAGTTTTTGTCCTTTGGATATATTAATCTAAAAGAAGATGCTATTGTTTTCAATCATAATAAAAGCATTTTTAATCTTCTGCTACTGGGCTTCTTTAAAGCCAAATTTTAACCTGCCCAGTCTGCAAATTAATACTTTGTTTACTAGAGACTCTTTATTTCTATTAAATGGATTATAGAATAAAAAGCTAGGTTTTCATTTCTTGAATTGGCTCAAAGCTTTGATTTAATGAAGGGTGATACTACTTTCTAATGTATTTGAACTAAACCATGATAAAGTGTGAGGTCATAGCACAAACATTCCAAAGAGAAGCATAAATAGTTAGTAGAGGGCACTGACACAAAGCCAAAAGGGCAGTCCTTTTCACAGGCCACTGGTTTGCATTTCTTGGGTCGTGGTCGACATTGGCAGATCCCACAGCCATGTGCATCTATTTGGAAGCCAAAGGGGCAGTCCAGGGCACAGCCTGCAATCAACCCGCTGCAGAGCTCCTCTCCTGGGAACATAGAAACACATGCAGTTAAGAATGGAGTTTATCAAAATAGCTATTCCTTTTTCTTTTTTATCAATAATTCCAAAGCTGCTACTATAAGATTCCAAAGAAAAAGTGTGCCAGATGTTGAGCAGTGTGTCTTTTTTATTTTAATCATTTATGATTTCTCTTTCTTACAAATATTGTGAAATCTCCAAGGCATGCATGGTAATTGTAGAGATAATGTTGTGGTGATGATCCTGAAGAAAACCACTATTGTTACAACATCCAAGCCAGTCTTTAAACAAGGACATGACTGTCTATTTTAAGCAAGAATAAGTAGTTTTCTTCACCGAGGATCTTCACTGCCTGAAAAAGACACTATTCTAGCATCAATATTTTATATTCAGTAAGATTATGGCTTTGGATCCCAGGGTATTAAAAGTTTACAGTAAAAACAAAAAACAACAACTGTACTAATAGATGTTTTTCTTTTTGTCAAGTCACAGTGCAAACAAATTAAATCAGATGTTCAAAAGTGGGATTTCTCTAAGTTCAAGAAAGAAAAGTTTTATACTGACTGCAGTGAACTTGTACACCAAGCTTAACTTGCTAAATCAGAAAGCAGTACTACTTCAGAATGCTACAATGCTGCTAAAACTAGTAAAATACCATGTCATTTTATAAGGGCTTATGATTATATATCTATCTTGTAATTTTTTAACTTCAACTTACAGATGCAGCCATTCAAAATGCACAGTACAAACCCATACCGTACTCAATTACCCTCAGGTCACTGCGTTGTACCATGGTATGTGATTGGCTGGCCAAAATGAGTGACAGGGGCACTCGTGGTCCATTGGTCATTAGTGAAGAGATTTAATAATTTAATCTCTTTACTGTGCATGTTTTAATCCGCTTAGTATTGAATATTTATATGGAATTTTACAACTTAAGGCAAATTTTAGTAGCTGAGTATAAAAAGAAGAGGAGCATAATGTATCTGATGGACATAAACAATATTAATTTAAGAACATAAACATATTATGTAAATTGTATATGGCTGGTATTGGTAGTTTAAGGAAAAAATACACAGTATTCCACTTTTTAATTAAGATATTGTTAATAACCTTTTAAATCTGAAGGGATCCACGTGATACAGGTTCCAGCTACTGGAGCGATACAGAGGGAAAGACGGTGACTATTCGTTGTTATTAAAAAATGACTTAGATTCGAACATGTTTTGATATTTAGAAATATAAAAAAGTCAATTAATTGTCCATAATATTGCTATTTTCGTTTTTCAAAGAAATGTTTGTAAGAAAATTTGTGGCACTAGCTGGATTGGAACAGCCGACCTCTTGCATATAAGTCAGGCACTTAAACCATCACGTCACTAGCACGGTCACATGACAAGTGGTGAAACAGCTGTACATCTATCAATAGATACTGTATGTGTACAGTATATAGTACTGTTTGTGTTACAGTACATGAATATAATTATATTGTTATTAATTTCTTTAGATATGCGATTCCATATTATATTCCCTTTTAATCAAATTCTAAAAGTATGCTTTTTTACTCTGAGTTTTGAGCATATTTGCATAAAAGCTTAAAACTATCACTTTTCTTATAGAGTACTGTATACTGAATAAACGTCCTGACATGGTCAGAGGGGGCAAGGAGCACATAAAAACGTTTCTTAAATAACCACATGTAAGACTTTGATGCTTAAAATGTTTAGGGAGAAATGGAATACTGGTGTGTATTTTTTCTTTAAAGTACCGAGACCAGCCATATACAGTTTAATATGTTTATGTTCCAAAATTAATATCGTTTATGACCATCAGATGCGTTATGCTTCTATTCTTTTTATGCTCAGCTACTAAAATTTCCCTTCAGTGGTAAAATTCCATATAAATATTCAATACTAAGCGGATTAAAACGTGCACAGTAAAGACATTACATGATTAAATCTTTCCACGACCGACCAACGCACCACGAGTGCCCCTGTCGGTCATTTTGGACAGCCAATCACGTACCGCGGTATGATGCGTTATGACGTAGAGAAATGCCTGCAGTACGTGTTTGGTACCGCACACTATGAATGGCTGCATCTGTGTAATTACCAGCTAGAAGGTCTCAGGCTCAGTTCCAGGCCAATGCACCCATTGTATTTTTAGAAAATAAAGACTTTTTACTAATAGTAAAATATAACAAATGAAATGTATACTATGTTGACATTATTATTGGTAAATACAGTAAGTTAAATAATATTAATAATAAATTAATAACATTTCTTATTAATATGATGAACATGAATGACTTAGAAAAACATGAATTCTCTCAATGGCAGGAGAAAACATCAGTTAAATTGATATTGAAAATAAAAATAGCAATAATATGGATGAACCTGCATACAGTGCAGATAAATTTATACAGATTAGCAAAAATATGGGTAATGTTTTTTCTTTAAATGGCACGCACCAATATACTACATAGTAAGACAATCCAAGAAATGCCACTGAGAGGAGCTCATTTGCAAGATAATGCAAGGCTATTAAAAAAAGATTGATCAAACAAAAGTCTGGGCTGAGTATCGAGTGCCTCGATTGGAAGTAGGCAAAATTAAGCAGCGGGGCTTTTATTTTATTATTATCTCTGTTGAACTGCTGCTTTAAATATCTAGATTATTATCCCTTGGCTACATAAAAAATGCTCCACAGCACAGGAGGTTTTAATTTGTTTCTAATCGGAGTAGGTTTAGGGTAGAGGATGAAGTAAGAGACAACATGTAAAAAGGGTTAACTTAAGTCAGTTCTGCCTGAAAATTAGACTTCTAAGCAACAGGGGCTTATGGCAGGAAAGGGGGTTAACTGATAAGGATTCTAGATGCAAGCTTGGAACCCTCTGGGGGCGTAATCTTAAACTGACCATTTGGCCAGGGTCTCTTAACTGGCCAAATACCATGACCCCCCCCCCCCTTACCGTAACACCGAATGACATCTGAAGCAGCAAGCAAGGACTATATAACCTAAAAGTCTGTAACGGCACATCGAACAATACTTCGGTTTTGTTGTTTCTTGCGGGAAACAAGCTTTTGGCTTTATTGTTCCTTGCATGCAATAAACTCATCTGTTTTACTTCATCTCGGGATCCAGAACCTTATTCTTTCTGTTACAACAAGGATATGTTACTATAGTTTTTTAACTAGATATAATTCAATCGTGCTTTAGAAAATCAAAAATCCCGACTTTTGTTATATGTTATCAAAAGTGATCTGGTTAACTGAATGATCTTGTCTCATGAAACAGCCTCCTAAATAGGGTTTCAAAAAATGCAGTTCCTTAATAAATATTTAAACAAAATTTGTGAAATGAAATTACTAGTAGTCATTTTTACATTTGTGGTTTGAGAGTTCTGTGTGTTCTCCCCAAGAAGTTATTGACATTGAAGTATTGAGTCTCAAAAATAAATAGGCATATAAACTACATTCCCCCTCAACAAAATGCAAGAAGTGTAACATTTCAATGGAGGTTTTAAGTTTAAAAAAATGAAATAAAAAATCACATCCTGATGTGTTTGTGGCAAATCAAGGCACATTCAATAGTCTGATTACAAAGAGTTCAATTTCACAGAGATGAGTGCATTTACACACATTAAAAAAGATTGATCAAACAACGATCTGTGACAAGTATCAATTGTCTGTTTGGAAGGAGTGTGAAACAGGAACTGACTTTTGTCAACATGTTTACAAAAGGTATCCGATTAACTAAGTAATCTCGCATTAGAGAGATGGTAAATCGAAGATTAATAAATCTTAAATCACATGATTGGAAAAGGGTTTGTGATCACATGAACAAGCTCAGAACAAAGAGACACTAGTTTCCTCTGATTAAGTAATTTGTGAAACAATAAAACAATTTGATTAAATAAGAGAGTGTGACATTATTTTTGTTAATGAAAATGAAAAAGTTTTTTTTATATTTATTTCAGTTTCTTTCTAGAATTTAGATTGTATACCTAGCATTAAGACAAAAACTAAATTATTATATCCCTCACCAAGCAAGCAAAGCATACTTTTTTAATTCAGAGACTTCTATGGAAACCTGTGTGATGACTCATTTGACCCATTTTCCACTAATGTATGTTAGAACCAGTCTCTGTTTCTGTAAGTTTACTTAATACATAGTGACCTTATAATCGAAATTCCTGGTACTTTTCCATGTTTATGTATTGTATGGGCTCTCCCTAAAAATAGTACAACATTTTAAAATGCAGCTATAAAGTTGTTTATTGTAACTTTTTTATAAAGTTGCACATTGTAATTTTAAAATATGTATCTTGAAAGAATGGACTGTATTTTTAAACGTCTTAGCATGTATATTAAAAGAGAATATAAAGAGAATATGTCTGCAAATGCAAAGAAGCTGATTAACCAAAGTTTAGGTACTGATGGTAAAGTGCCTCAAATGGGATTGCAGTGTTAAACACAAGAGACACTTTCTACAGCACATTATTTGTGCAATTAAGGGTGGTCTAACTCCTTTATTCTGTGTATACTGTACTGTATTTCAAACAAAACAGAAACGATTTCCTTCACAGCACTGTTTTAAAACAATGGCCATGTAAATTGAATATGAGGAAAAAACTACAATTGCCATGTGCCATGTAAATCACATGAATTGATATCCACAGATAACCAAACAAAACTGTACAGTACAAATAAATGAACTGAAGTATGATATCACCTGTATATAAATACAGCATACTGTATATACAGTATATACTAAATACAGTTTTATACTGTATAGTTTTAAAGCCACTACAGTACAGTATGTGTAAAATATATGTTTATAATCAAAAACTAAAATAAAATTACTTTTTAATTAAACTATCATTAAAACAAAATACAGATTATTTTAATGCATATGTAAACATGAAATAACACATCATACATTCACAATGGGCTATAATAATTCATAAATTGTTACACATATATCTGGCTGAGTAATTTTGCTTAG